AAGGATGAGGCACACCCCGAAGTAGGCAGAGGATGAGTTCTGTTCTTCATTTTTCCTAGCTGTGAATTATGACCTCTATAGAGAGACGTGAAGTAATGTTAGCTATGGCACATAATTGGCAAGGTACCTTGTATTTTCCATCTTTATATTTTCACAATCGTATTTCAGCTCATGTCACTGCAGACAACTCCCTCTCTGACCCTTTGGCTTTAAATAGCAGAAAATACAACCCATGTTTTCCAGTGAGATAAATAGAAATTTGTCTTTTTTATTTCACAGCTTAGTCAATTTATGAGGGGGACTGATAGGGCGGGCCAAGCTATTTAAACATACTTAGATCCCGAGAGGTACCGAACTGCTGAGCACCTACTGACTTCCTGCAAGTAAATCACTCCATATCTTGCAGGATTAGGTCCCATTTCCCATGCAATGTCAAGTTATTGTGCTTCTTTTGAGAACTGACTTCTCATTTCTGATCAGTGTAAATGAAGCTTTTTACAAACTGTTCAAATTTTAAGATTAAACTTTAAAAAATTGTTAGCTAAATTAAAACCAGAATGCAGACCACTCTTCACAGCGGGCAGGCCATTTGCTGATCAGCCAAAGCCCAGTGCCACAAACATTTATACATAAGAGCAAAGATATGTATGTGTTTGAAGGACTAATGCTCCAAGGTATGCATGATTTGTATATATTTATGCTTATTGTTCGTAGAGACACATGTGCTGGTAATATTTATGTTTGCTCTTAACTGTTATAATCTTAGTGCTTCCCCTTATGACATCTGACAACCTGCAGTGGTGGCTGACTGTGCAGAATTCAGACAAAGTTAAAGACAGCTTGGGCTTGTCATGTGCTACCCAGTGAGAGGTCTACAGAAAGGACTCCAGTACTTTGGAAACAGCGGAAGCCGTGGATGCCAAGCTATCTGCCATCAAAGCAAATGGATCTGCAACACACTGCATACCTTATTTAAGTCCAGAAAAAAGTAGACAGAGCAGGGTGATATTTATGGCTGTCACGTGAGGAAAAGCCTCTGTGTCCATACAGCACTGAAGCCCTTGGTTAGGCTGAGGAGAGCACCAAGGCTTGTTGGGGGGAGCAGAATCAGGCAGCTGTCAGTGCCCACACCCCATTGCCAGGCTGAGTGCCTCATTTGAGACAATGAGAAGACCGTGTCATTTGGGAGCTGAAAGGATGACTTACAGTTCTTGTGCACATAGAGCTAACTTTCCACCTTTCTCCTCAACTCCTGGAGGTCTCAAGGAGCCATTGTTCTTTCTTTTGCCAGTTCACTCATCACTGGTGTTTTTATTTGTCACTGTCTTGAAAAGCCTCCACAAAAACCTCTTAAGTTGACCTAGCATCTGGGATCACGATCTGTACCAATCCCCCCACAAATAGAAAATGAGTGATTATATGCATTTTTAAATTACAGTTTTAATTTTTATTTTTTAAATATTAAAGAAAAAAAACCCAAGTCCAGTTGCAGTCTAAGGATGGGTTCAATGGGAACTGACTGCAAGAAGACTTAATTCCTGGGTCTCCACACAACGTGTCTAGCAAATAGGTCAGAAAACTGTTCAAGAGACAGTTTGAGTAGCTCATGCTAATGAGCACGTTTTATTTAAACTCTCTGCAAAGGTCTTTTCTGATGTCAGTGCTGAAAACTTCCTAGTTTACTCTTTTGGCTACTCTCTGATCTTTCTAGTCATCTAGGGAGGGTAACGACTGCAGATTAGGGGTTTCTGCACTCTTTCAGTTATACAGAAGAATGAAACCCTTGATATTACCATCAGCCTACTGACTATCTATTTTTGCTAGGAAGTAAGTATTTTGCATATTCTGGTCATTGGCCAAACTGGGCTCTCTGTCTCACATGGTGTGATGCATTGCTGCCAGTTCTGTTCTTTCCTCACTCTATATTTTGTACCATGTCTCCTGCCTTGCCGTCTTTGCCCTCCTGAACCAGAAGTGTTCCCACCTATGAAGTATTTTACGATGCTACAGTTGCCATCACCTACAGCTTAAATACAAGAGTCTCATTATTCTGTTGATATCAAAGCCTGACCTTTTTCTAAGGCTAAGATCCTGAATTTTTTACTACTAAATTCTCAGAGGGAAAGTAAGGCACAGGTCTAAGTTATCTGTCAGATGTAAAAAATGTAGGCTGAAAAGTAAACAAGAAAGAAAATAAAGGAGCATCATATCAGGTCATTTCCCAAATTGTTCATCTTTGGGAATTCAGAAGTGATGAGATTTCACCTTTCAATTTACCCATATTTTGAGGTCAGACTGAGTATGGAGCAGTACTTCCTTAGTCAGTCTGCTCTACAGCATCAGCAGAAGCTCAGAGGAAACAAACCGTTGCCTGCAAGGACCAGCTGCCTGAGTGTACCTTGGTAAAGCAGAGTTTCCCTTTGAGATCGTCCAGGCACTTCAACTGTCTTCTGAAGTCAGAAGCAGAGGAGTAGTATTCACTATTTAGCAGGGTCAGGAAAATATAGGTACTCATGTTATCCCATTTGTTTACAAAAACCCTATTACACTGTTTTGGTATCTAAAACACTGTCAGAGAAGACGCTCAAATGAACTAAGCTTACCCCTAGCCTGTATGCTGACATTTCTGTGAGCCAGACAAGGGTAATGAAGCTTTAAAAAGTGAATCATTTATGGAAAACAAGGGATAGTTTGATGCAGACGTGACAAGTCTGTGCCCCTTTGTCAATACTGCACAAGTGCCAAGGTACTTCCTACCTGGATCAATTCCTTCAGACACTTGCTTTGTTTACCTTGTCATCTGCTAACTTTTAGTTTTAAAAAACTGCTAAACTTTTCCCCCAAACAAGACAAACTTATAAAATAACTTGTGTAATGTGTTTTATGATCAAGCTTGACATTGGATTCTGATTCTGCTTGTACTAGTTTTATACTCTCTGTGTGGCACTTTTCTCCCCTGTGAGAAACAAAAGAGCTGCTTAGCCTTTACAATATTGAGTGTGTCAGGTTAAAATTATCTCCCAGGATTTTTTATTCTAGATTTTGAAAACAACTTGTGCTAGACCAGAAATCATCCAACCAAAGGAAAAGCAGAACCAGATACAAATTTCAATTCAAAATATTTTTTTTGACGATGCCACATTTGCTGCTTCAGGAAACAGAAATCTTGTGTAATGCATTGCTCCCCTCTGAGCAGAGAAAGTGGGACTTCTTATTGTATCTCCCCCTGTTTTTCATAGTGTGGTATTCAAAATAATGAAGATATTGTTGAGGATAAACTGGAGGAGAAACTAGAAAGGTGCCCTGGCTGGTCCTTATGGATTCACTCTGGAGTGGGACCCCACTTTCACCTGCCTCCTCTGGTCTCCCCACATGGCTGCACAGAGGCACTGAGAGCACAACTCCAAATACACCTAAATCCAAAGATTTCTATCCAACATTCAGATTTTCATAAAAAGCCACTAGCTCTAGAAAGCCTCATCTGCAAAATCCACAGTCATATCAGTTCAGCATTTTATGAGTTTTTTTAAATAAGGGAAAACAAGAAATCCTTTGAAGAAGTCTGATACTTGACTACAAGTTCCTCAATAAACACAGTGCATAGCGGTATCAACGGGAATATTGCCTATGCTAATAAAAGGGCATGAAGTTGCCTATTAACAGATTCTGATTATGTCATCTTGTTTTCCATTTTACTTCCTTGCCATAAGGAAGCGAATATTGTTCATTAAAAGAACCATTTAGTGACAAGTACAGAAATCTAGATCATATATGTGAAAGGGATGTAGCCAAGAATGAAGTGCGTGTAAGATTTCTTTCCCAAGTGATTATTTTTTTGTGAAATCCAATAAACAGCAGAAATGTGCTTGTTTCATGTATAATAAACTATTGCCAGCAGCTGAGGTCTGCCAGAACTTAACTGGCTGGTGTTTGGAGAAGGGAAGCTGATCTTCCCATCTGCCCTCTCCTAATTAAGAGCCTGATTCTGATCCTATTGATGCAAGGGTACATTTTGTCATTGGAGAAATAAGAGTAGGGGTAAGTTCTTCATTTGGGAGATCCAAGAATTTTTAAAGGGCTGTTTGATATACATGGGCAACCTCTGCAAACTTCATTATGTTTTGAAGGGGCCCTCTAAGCAGAACTGGTTCCAAAAGCCTTGCAGATCCCATAGGACCCCCACACAGGAAGTCCACACACCAGAATACAAGAAAGCTTCAAGAAGATAAATTAAATCATAGATTTAAAGTGAGAAACCCTCCCCAACAAACAGAAGCTTGTCATTATAGCCATATTGCACAAAATAATATTGGCTTAACCTCTTCCTCACAGCCCTCTGGTGAGGCTGTTACTTTGCCTTGCTTTTGTCATGGTACATACAACAGGCTGGGATTTTTTTTCCATCCTGTGAGAAATTTTGAAATTAAAATCAAAACGAATTTAATTGAGTTTTCACGAATGTCTATGTCGAAAACTTTGTGACACCTACAATGTGAAAAAATATGTTCCAGTTCAGCTAAAATATTCTCAGAACAAGATTTCTAACAGAGGTTGTTCTCCTGTAAAAAATACCCTTTAGTGTAGAATTAAATTTCTAAATAAAATCCCATTTCTGAGCTGATTTTTTAAAAGCTGATTATGGATGTTTTAGCAATTTCACCCCTAATTCCACCTATTTTCTTTCTTTTTGAACTACAGTATTTGCCACTGCACCTTTTTGCTATGAAAAGTTTAGTCTGACTACTTCTAATACCATCTGGAAATATATATATGAAGTTGCCTAAATAATACTTTATCTCCTACTACCTCATGAATAGCTCTCATTTTAGAGAGTGAACCTCCACAAAAATCAATACTTAGAAGAGACCTGCTTATGCCTGCAGATTTACAGCACTTCTAATAATAACCTTCTGATGTTTGCATTGCAGGAACTTGCCTATCTTTTTCTAACTAATGTCACCATGTTGTATAATGTATTTATGGCACTGTTTTAATTTCAGGTAGCAGAGAAGCAGCATTCACATATGCCATCATTGCTGCTGGAGTAGCACATGCAATCACGGCAGCCTGTACACAGGGCAACCTGAGTGACTGTGGTTGTGACAAAGAAAAACAAGGACAGTACCATAAAGAGGAAGGATGGAAATGGGGAGGCTGCTCTGCTGACATCCGATATGGAATAGGATTCGCCAAAGTGTTTGTGGATGCCCGGGAGATTAAGCAAAATGCAAGGACGCTCATGAACCTGCACAACAATGAGGCTGGGCGGAAGGTGAGTACCTCTGCTCTCCCTCAGATGCGGTCATCTCTGGCCTAGGATTGGAGATGGGGTTAGATCATGTACACTGCATGAGAACTACAGTATGCTATAATGCTAAGCTAATTTTACAGTAGACAAGCAGGCACCTTTGCAAGTTACACAAGCTTGTTGGACCATCTGTCTGTCAAATATTTGTCTAAATGTTACTCTTTACAACTGTAAAAAGAAAAAAGCAAACAAACATTTTATCTGGAAAGTCAAATGGTACTTATGATAAAAAGCTTGCCTGCTACTGTGTGGTTGAATGGGATTCTCGTCAGGTTCAGACACGAACTTCTCACTCATTTGAAAAGGGATCATTTTCAACCCAACTGTTTAAACCTTGCTCTTTGTGTGAGGACTACCTCTACAAGGAGAAAAATACTTTAGCAAAAAGACCACAGGCTGACTCACTGTTACACCATTATATGGATTTGGTTTGTCATTTTGCACAGCAAGATTCCCGCCTCCTCCCCATTCTTTGGGACAGAGTAGCTGAAAGCAGCTACTGCAGAAGCAGCGCTCTGGAGCACAGGAATTCAGCAGCTTCCAACACGCACATTTCCTGGGGATCCCGGGTATGGAATTCCCAGGGTTTGCTGCCTTTGCCACTTGCTGCACTCGGCCAGTTTTCTGATTGTCAGTGGCAGCCGTTGCAGATGCAGTCCCAATCTGATCTGTGCTTCTCAGATCCTCGCAGGTCAGGTGTTCCCCAGCATATCTCAGAGCAGTTGCAGTGGTGAAGAGGCCCTGACTACACCAGCTAGGAACAGCCAGGGGATGTCCGTGTGCTCCCCATAGAGCTGTGTGCAGGTGCGGTCCAGCGCTGCTTTCCACGTGGGTGTTACCGTTTTGCTGATCATATCTTAGAGAACGAACGTAAATCCTCTGTCTGTCTTAGCTCTCTATTTTACCTTCTCTGCTGTTTACGGCCCTGTGCATTAGTACTGATTTTAGCATTATGTTAGTGTGACTTTGAAGCAAATGGGAGAAGGAAGTTAGAAACAGTAGTTAATTTGTGGGTACTATTTTTGTTGTGGTAATTACCTGTAGGCTCTGAGACATCTCCACTTATGCTGGAGCCAAGCAGATTGTATTGAAGAAAAGCCATTTCCACCCCAAACAAAAGCCTAACCCTTCTTTTATTTAATGCTACTGTAGTTGTTTTATAGGTGAGATTATAGTTTTTACTCTGTCTGGTATCCCTGATGCCTGTGTCTAGCTCTCTAGTGCAAACACGATACTTCAAAACACTAGCAAAATTGACACTGAATTCTGAGAATAACTCAAGGACTAATCATTAATATTTGTTAAAGAAACGGTCTGAGATCTTTATTACTCGGCTCCTGGTAGCATGAAGGCACATACTGAAAAGCCTGGTGAAATACCAAGGCTCACATTCTGCTCAACTATACAAGCACAAATCCACTGAAATAAAAAGTTGCAGAGGAGTTTCACCTTTGTGGGAAAGCTACTTCCTTGACAGGTCTGCTTTTATTCAATAGGTGCTGGCAGTAAAAGATTCTCAAGAAATGACACATCAGCCTACAGAGGACTGCAAACATAGATGGAACTAGCTGCTGTCTAGAATTTTTTTTCCAATGCAAAACTCAAAGATACAGACAAAAAAAAAAAAGTTCCATCTTTTGGTCTCCATTATCACCCAGGCATGGACTTAGGGTAGAGGACAAGGGCTATTGGTCCTGGAGCTGGCCTGTGGGAAGGCAAAGCATTCAGCAGCCTCCTCTTGAGGACATGAGCTCCTTGTGTTTCTCACCTACATGTTCACAATTTGCTGTCCTAAAAGATTATGCCTGGAAGATTCAGCTTTACGCATTGTTATCTGGGAGAACAGTGGTGCATGCTATCTCTGGCAATCTGCCATTTCTCCAGCAGGCTCAGGAACTGTTCTGATCTAGAGATATTTCTATGCTTCTTCCTGCATCCCTTACGGAGCAAAATTACTGATCTTTGTTCGAACAAATCTCTGTTTGAAATCTGCAGAGGAAAGAAAGAGTAACATGACTGAGAAGAAGCATGTTACTCCACCATCCTGTAGAGAATGAATAAATGATGCTTTTGCTAGAGAGATTCCTTTCAGGCTTTGCTCTTACGTGAAAGATCACAGTATTTAAAGACAATTGGCAGAGGGAGGCCATTACAGGTATTTGGCAAGCTAGATCTCTCACAACCTAACCCTTTCACAACAAAGACTGTCTTGTTTTGAGGTGGTACTCTCCCTTTTGGAGCAATATGGATCTTATCAGCCTCCACACAATCTATTCTTGGTGGCTTTCCTCTGGGCTACAAATTCTTGTCTACATTTACTTGCCCATGGCTGTTTTTGATGATATTTATTCACCTAGGAGACAGGCTGGCACCTACTGGGTTTCCAAAAATAAACTAGATGTTCAATTCTTATTGATTTATTATCTTCACCTGTAGGCACCGCTATGCTGTTCAAATGTCAGTCCCCTCTATTTCTTTGGTCTTACAGTGCGAAACTGCTGTGTGTGCTGTGCCCACTCCCTCAGGTGCTAAAAAATGACCTGTGAAAAGGTCCTTCTTTAGGATGACACCAGCTGCAGGTGGTTCAGGATGCACTCTAGTAAATCATACATATATTATTATCTAGTTCTCTTCTTAAGAATCAATGGTAAATTAATCTGTTCTGTCTTGGCAAGCAAGAGATGACAAACTTTGCACTGCAGTAGGCAGAACTGTTGGGCTTAACAGGGAAAAAGCATAGGTAGGACTACGTGGTATAAACAGAGAACCCCCAGGAAAATCCTAATCTAGACTTTTTGGAGATCTCAGCTAAAGACTTTCCACCTTCCCATAGTCTTATTTTACCTAGGCAGACGTCTCTCTGCTTCCTGTGGTGCCAACGACAGTTTCTGAACCTACTGAATACATGACTCTGTCAGAGCAATAGTATGGTTACCTGTCAGCTTGTTCCAGAAGTAAATGAAAATTGACTGTGTCAAAGGTGGAAGACTTCAGAGGTTGTAGGTAGAGAACATCAGTGTTCCTTTTCCTCAACAGCCTTGGTAGTACAACTCTTGAAAAATACTTGTGTGTACCTGAGATCAGCGCATGTGAAATGTCTCCATTTCCAGCTCCTACCGCACTGTGAACTCAAGCCAGTGATGCCAGCAGTTCCTGCAGAATGAGCACCCATGATGCATCTGCTGCTGGGGTGGAGCGAGTAACAGTTTTCCTTACTGCTAAAGGACAGGGCTCAAACTCTGTTGCTCTGTCTGTCTTGATGACAAACCACCAGGACTCAGTTTTGTAGCACATAGGCAGAACTTCAAAGTTCCCAGGCTGCTTGGAAGAGAAGGGGCAGAGTTCAACACAGGGGTTACATACACCCTACAAAACTGGCCCCAAGCAGCCCAAGAAGCCTCATATCATTTGTCAAACCAATTGGAGAGCAGCTATTTCTGACCTCCAGAAACAGAGTTTAGGGTGTCTTTCCTCTTTGAATTAGTATTTCCTGAAATGCTGATTCACTGCAGGAAGAAGCAAGCAGTACAGGGAGAGCAGGAGGAGAATTCATGACAGCTGGGTCAGAAAAGAGAGATAAAGCTTGAATTAATTTAAAGGCATAATCCTGATTTGCCCTGCAAACTTCCATGTGAGGAGTTATAATTGCAAGACTGAATTGTCTGTTAGCAAATTTGTCTTCTCAAGTACAAAGTTAATTGAATTACTGTAAGTAACACAATAACGTATGTCTGAGAGGTATTTATGCTCCAGGAAATAAAAATGTTATTCTCCAAGTTATCCTGCTAAACAATAGCAAAGTAGGTACTGAAATGTTCTACATATTTTGGCTATAAACTTTTCATTTTGACAGCATGGCAAAGTACATGACCAGATTGCGCTCTCCTCTCTTTTTCTCTGTGACATTGAAATTCCACGAATGGCATCTTTCATCAGCGTTACATCATATTAAGTATAATGCAATATTATGAGTCATTGTTATAAATCATGGGCACAGGCTGCATTAGAAAGGTTTTGCAATTCAAGAGCACATCAAGGTGGATTTTTATTCAGTGTTTCTTTTTGGAGGCATACCTAGGTGCACTAACTTTGCAGTGTATCTTCATCCTCTGAATCAGAGGCATTTCAGTTTTCCATTTCAGCTCTAAGGTTCATAGGAGAAGTGCAGTACGTGCCTAACAGAGTTGCTGCAAATATCAAGCAACGCTATGAGAAATCAGAAAGTGTTTCTGAAGTGGATCATGCAATGATCATAATAGACTGAAGTGTTTAGTATTTTATCCTTTAGGGAAAACATTATTATTAATGTTGAAGTGAAACACCAGCATTTGGAAAGCATGGAGTTCGGGAGTTCTCCCAAGCTGTTCTGTAAAGCCTACATTGATGACACTCACCTCCTTTACTTGCTAGCATCTTTCACCTCAGAAGCAGATTGCTGCCATATAACTTTCCTGAACCTCTTCCAGTTCTTGCATGGTGTGAAATCATCACACCACTGCAAGAATTTAACTATCCTCTAGAGGACAGCTATTTCTACTTCATTCAAGATACCTTTTACTTTAACTAGCCTATTAGCCTGACTACAAGAAGAGGCACAGAACACAAACTCTTGCAGATGAACCACTTGAAAGCTTGTAAGCATCTATAGGGTGTTAGAAAAGAGACAAGACTAATAGAAGACAAGACTACCAAACAATTCAACATTTATAATTTTTCTGAATATAGGCATGAAATTCTGGAAATTTAATAGTTCTGCCTGAACTAAGTCTTAAAGCACGTGAAAACATGGCACTATTCCTGCTTGCGCCCGTGGCTCAGCTCAGCTGCCTGCAGTGGAGGAGTGCAGCCTGTGGGCTTGCAGCCCCACGGGGGTGGCCTTGCCCAAGCAAGACCACAACTTTCCAGGGGGACCCCAACAGCCCAGCAGCTCCTGGTAGGAATTCTGTTTCCAGAAGATGATCAGG